CCCCAAAACCCCAAAACCCCAAAACCCCAATATGTTATTTGGCAGTTGAATTATGAAGATGGAATACTAGTACTACTCAAGAAATATTAAAACTTGAGATGGACTCAGCAGAAAACAAAGCATTTAGAATATTAGGGGGAAAGTAACCCAAAGATATGACGATTGAATGACATCTACTGTCTTCCTAATGTTTTAGCTCATTTGTCTTGAGATAGATATGCCAAACAGAATGAATAATCGTAGTATTTCCAATAATTACCATGATTTCTAACATAATTAAGCTATATTCTGAGATTTGTCTAAAAATCAAACTAAATTGTTACAAATGTTGTCGAAGTAAACTCTTGGAGATACTATGATTAATAGATACTCGGAAACAAACCAATGAAGAGTTTTGTTAAATTAAACAACAAAGATGGAGTTAGAAATTAATTAATAACTCTTCTAAAACTTTGGTCCTTCCAAGAAAATGAACTGTCAGTCATCCAATAATGCTCTGAGAGTAAGAATCTGGTCACCTTTAGAGTCCAGGTAAATCCAAAGAGGAATCAGCCCAGACAAGAAGAACATTGCAAACTCAAATGCTTCACTTTCGATATAGTGTCGTTAGTTAAAACTTATAAAGCTAAATTATTAATTCTTATGAACTTGACCCTCAGGGTGATACCAATACTTCAGCATGCAAGGTAAATGTCTCTAAAGCTATTGGTCAGCCTTAATGATTGCTTCTAAGGCTCTTGTTTTAGTCGGAAATGTTCTTTCCTTTAGCATACTTATGCTTTCATAAAAATATCAAATTCATGCTTGTTCATTTCCGAAGGGATTGAGTACTAAATAGTAATTTTACTCAAAATCTCTATTCTTAGGGACGAAAGATACTTCTTCTGAGCCTGAAAGACAGCAGAGAGGCCGAGGAAACTTTTTCCAAGAAACCAGGTTTACTATTTCAAAACCGTCATGTGTACAAATAAATATTTAGTAATTCCATTTCCACACTTGTAAACTAACTCATGCTGGTCTATTTCAATTTTATCAGAGACCTAATGGGTGACCATCTTTCATAATTTTGGAGGTCAAGCAAAGTCAGCTGCAGATTTTGGATAATGAAGTAAGGCTTGGCTCTATCGTTCTTTACAGGTGACTGATAGACCCCCCAAATAGCAATGTATTGGGTTATATGCTTCTGAGTGATACTAGGCTTTCTTAAAATAGTACTATTTCAGGTCTATCTTAAAGTAGCCTGTAGTTAGTCATGACTGGGTGGCAGATCCATTTTTAATAAGAAGTCAAAAATGCAATAATCATAGCAAAAGAAGTTTGTAATATGATCCTTCATAATAAAAGGCATTTTACCGTCCGGTGGGAAGCATCTAATTATCGACTATAAACCTAGTTTACCTGGACTCTGCTCACTTCTCAAATTATGGTTTAGGGTTTACTTTCATACAGCAAGCTTCACTGGATAGCTCTACATTAGAAGCCATGATTGGCCATAAAAAGTAGTTTATCAAACACTTCTGAAGAAATATTAAAACTTTATGATATACCAAAATCTCAGAACACGCTATGAATATTTGTTAGGACTCTAGAGTATGAGAACACGAAAAGTATCTCAGAAATTAGCCTAGTACTCCCTCAGGACTCTTTATTTAGTACTGAAAGCCTAAGTTGCTTTTTAAGCAACAAAAATATGTGTAAAGTAGTTCCTTGATATACTTGTAAACCACTTTATGACTTACTGAAATTTATTGGCTTACCCTCAGCCTTGAGATCTGAAACTTCATAAAAAGAGCCATAGTGGTGCAAGAAGGAGTCTCAGCATACTACTTGCCTGTCATCCAAAGCAAGTGATGGTAGAGAAATTTGGGAATTAGGTATCTTATCTATGTTTAATAGGTACTTCAGTATTCCTTACCAAAAGAATCTTGATATTTCATTTCATTCAGACTGTCAAAGACCTACTTCAGGCTTATCCCTCTTTGAACAAACTTATTCATCAATTAAATTGGGTTTTGGAATAAATTGGGAAAATAATTAAAAGAATCGGCTGGCCACGATACCATTCACAATATGTTTTGTTGTAAGAAAATCTGAAGGCAGTGTCACTATGTTTTTAAAATTAGTCATTGTTTCCTAAACAGAGTAATTATTCCTATTTGATAATATTTCTGTATTAGGGAAGCTTAGAGGCAACTTTTCATCCCCTCTCAAGAAGCTGTAATATGTTCTGAAAGATCCTTATGAGCCCCAAAATTACTAATTACTTTTCAGGTACTATTGTTCCCATTTAACTTCAGGTACCTTCTTGTTGCTGCTGGGGAGATATGAAGTAGGAACTTGGTCTCCTTTTTTCAGTAAAACACAAGTAGTCCTAAATTAATTAACAAAATTAGAACTAGCTTAAAATTCCAGAAAGACGGTTTACCCTTTAAGGTGTCAACTGCAGGAATGAAGGACCATGCTCTTGATATATCACGAAGAGAGATTATTAAATAAGTACTAGAGACTTCTAATTCGGAAGTAAACTTCCAATGAAGCTTCCTCATGGATTAAGTATTGGTCTTCTTGAAGTAAATTTATTCGTTTTACGTTAAAATTGATTTACTAGCTACAGCTAATAAATGACTTGTTCTCTCAAAACCTGGCAAACCTGCTTTAAGAGAGATAGCGGAGATGAAGACCTTTAGGAGGCTGAGATATGAATTTCTGACCTATCATAATATGCAAAGCTGGGAACATCAAATCGGCTCAATAATGTTTTATGGAAACATAGCTAAATTTTTTCTAAACGAAGTTGTTTCCTTTGTTCCTTCTCGCCCACATATCTTACTTGAATAGATTAGTGCTAAAAATTGATTGCCAATGTTTAGCTATTTCTGTCACAGAAACTGCCTTTTATCAGTCAATGATTAGCAAGAAAACTAATCAGCCTAAAGAAGCCGAGTCATAAGATGCAGCCAATTCTGGGTTGACTCTTTTTGATGCCAATTAGCAGCAAAGATACCCAAATTCTTGAACATAGTGAATAAAATCAGCTATAAAACTTAATATTTGGCTTGAATCGACTCCTCAATTTCTCCAAAACTACTGGAGTTTAGAGGAAGTATAGCTCTGATGCAAGCTCTAAAAATAGTCTGACTGCCAGTTTTCGGATTATTTAAGGCAGGGCTTCTTTCTCAGCAAAGATGGTTGTTATTCCTAAGCTAAAATTAAAACTTAATCGATATCAAACCCTTTTTAGCAATGGTTCATCCAGTTCTGATAATTTTAGCACTTTTGAGTATTTAAATGAATTGTGGTATGATAAAGTATTCAAGCGAGCATAACAGAATGAATGAGGTCATGATTATTTCAATTCTAATCTCAACTTGCTTCTTATAATTCAGGTCTAGTCAAGATAGGAAAGTTATTGGACAAACAATACGTAATCCCAATCTCTAAAACCTAACAATCTTGAACCTTTGATATAACCTGAAATTACCAAAATTAATAAAATGAGCAACATCTACACTCCTTCTTATCAGCCAAGCGTCAAGGCTCAAGAGGCATTTTCTTGGCTTAGAGATATGAAAATTTTATCAAGATTCTTGGACTATTAATTAACGAAAACTCTTAACTTACTTTTACTTGCCTATAATTACCAGTCTATCTCAGAGGCAAAAACAAGGCGAAATTGATTATTATTACCGAAAGGGGGATTCCAATGACCTCTTCTTAGTTTAGCCAATTTTTATGTGCCCATTGGCTCAAACCACATCTGCACCTTCAAAAACTGGGATGCTCTTTGATGCAAATCAGGATGATTCTGCTTGACCAAGAATCTTCTAATTCCAGGTTTATTATCTCAAATCGCTCAGTAAAAGAAGCTAATCAGAGTCAAGGGTCTTAATATTGGGATTTAGCCGAAAAATAGTGTTAATACTCACCTTTCCTGCTATATTTGTAAAATTTGCAAATATTTTATCCAAAATCCATCCCTTCAAAAGTCGTTTAGAAATTAAGACACTTTATTTATCAAATTTAAGCTTTCAGACATAAGTGAGTTCTCTGATATTTGAACATGACTGAACGAAGAAATGCCTTTTCTGGCTCAGAGATGGAGGGATCAGCATACACAACCCCTTTTGTTTGTCCAAAAATACGCAACAATTAGGGCAATTCATGAATTATTAGAAATTCTTATGTAATAATTACACAATTTTGGATGGAATCTTGGAATTTATGTAACACTTTCAGCTCAACTCAAAATCATGAAGGAAGGCTGAGAGATTTCAAGACGCTCAAGTATGTAGCAATGTTTAGATTTACATCTAGTGCGTAAGTGTAGGAACTCTTGTTTAACTAGTAATGAAGATATCAGCCATGAAGATCTTTCGACCTGCTTGGCAGAGTACCTATACTTTCATATCTTTATGAAAACTGCTCTTAAAACTCACTGTTTTATCTTATTTTCAAAAGTCCTGAGCAAAGAAATCTATCGGACTTTGTAGTAATCATGCAGATTTGGGCATTTAAGAATCATTGCTTTATCTAGCAAGCAAAGGTTTCCTTCGTTTGCTAATTTTTAAGAATTTTAAGTATTTTTAAGGAATGCTGAATTTAGTAAGGTTTCTCTTGACTCTCCCATTCCATATCATTTCTCTGTCTTGAGCTAGATACTGCGTACACAAAGAGATAGGAGCCTAGACCACACCAGATCTATCGAGTGCATCCTTTGAGTGGCTATCCTAACAGAAACTGCAAGAACAAGGAGAGGGAGTACAAGACCACGAAGCAAGATGCAGGTGATCAACCCTTTGAGCTCTAAAGACAAACATATGAACAAAAAGATCAACTTAAGGAGAAAATTGATTATGAAAAGAGTTCCTGAAGCTTTAGAATAAGGAATGCGGCTGGTTTGGAGTAGCAGCGTCTTGCTGAATTTGTTTGACTGAGAAAATGAAGTAAGAAGATCATAGTTACCCTCTCTTTTCAAATGTTAGAAAAATCTATCCATGAGGAGTATTTAGGTGGGATATGGGTGCTATATGAGACAGTTTTACTTTATTCTGATTCTTCTTCAATAGAGGTTTTGATTAATTAGATTAATCACTACTAAGAGATATGCCTTTCATTGAGATCCCAAGCCTACAGATTCTAAAACTACTCAAAATTACTTCAATTAAAATCCTGTCAACTACCCAAAATTCCAGTAATTACTGGCTTTAAGAAGCCAAAATAACCTATATCACGCTATCATCACTCCCCAAATAACCCCTAATCCCCTATTCCCCCCAAATCCTTAAAACCCCACTCTCCTACCTCAACTCCCCTCTCTATCTCCTACCTCCAAATCCCCCTTCCTCCTTCCAAACTTCCCAAAATCTCTACTCCCCCTCCAGTCACAGTTCTGCTGATCTAAGTCAGAAAAGGGTTAAATTTTATGAATTTCTGTGTGATAAATTACTGCTTATAGTTTCAGGAGATTATTAAGGCTTTGAAATGAGTTTAGAATTCATTTCAGAATATCTATCCCTAAAGCCAGCCAATTTTTATGGGTTTAACAAATGTAACTAAGTGATATCAAGAGTACCTTTTCTCTATTTTTACTTAGAGATATAAGTGGACAACTCTTATGATAATCATCTAAATTGCTTAATTACAAGCAAAGAAATTACAATGACATTCTCCGTCGTTGACATTAGCTTTTATCATAAAAACAATCTGCCTTGCAACGATTACTTAACAAAAGATCTCAAATGATTTGTGATCGAAAATATTTTCAAAGATCCAGCATCAAGTTCTTGCTTCCTTAATAGCTAAGGGAAAAAATTAATTGAAATCTCTCAATATTCCTCTTTCATCACTTAAATGCCTGTCCTTCATGATTCTTCTCGAAATTTTACCCTGAATGCTTCAAAGAAGCCTGAGGCTTCTTTGACAAAAAGGAGGGTAAACCTTTAATGAAGACTAATTGATCAGAAATTCTTAACTAATGCAAGTATGAAGATTCTCTTTAAGCCTTGAGGCTTCAAGGCCAAGGACTTCTTCATTGCTTCACAGAAGCAATAGAATCAATTTACTTCAAAGAGTCTCAGTGAAGATGCCTTTAACTGAGAATATTTGATTAATAAAACGTGATTTTTCCTCTAAAAGTAATGAATAATAGTATCTTGTACCTAATTTAGCAGCCAGCAAATTTGGAAAATCTTACTTGCTTTGGCTTTAGAAAGAGGCAGGGTTTCTAGCCCTGAAGGGAAAAGATCTATCAGAATTTCAAAATTTTCAAATATATATTTGTCTTTGAAATTCTGAAAGCGATTGAAAAATGAGCATATCTTAAAAAGTTGTAAATGCGAACGTTCGATTTCCTTCGGAAATTTGAAACTTTTTGAAAATTGTTCTACTAAGAGTGGAGATAATGGTATCTTACTTAGACTTAATATCAGTCGTCCTTTCTTTATAGCCAGCCAAAGTTGATAAAATTGAACCAGTAGTATATCTCAGAATTTTCATATTTATTTCTGCAGCAGTGATCTCAAACTTTTAATACTACTTCTTATCAATATTTCGACCTCTCACTGGCAAGGTCTCAGAGGCTGATGCTTTTGTCAGTCTGCTATTTATGGCGACTTATGACTTAGTTTTCCAGCCTTATAGCTTAACTTGTGTGTAAACAAATCTAGTCATTAAGAATAGTGGCTCCTCTTCAGGTTTTGCCTAGCCTTAGCTTTGACCTTGACCAGGAAATCATTAAGAGAAGCACTCTCTCGATGTCTAACAGTGGGCTTCTTCCAAGAAAGAGCGAACAGAAAACTTGAGTAAGGAATGCAAAGAAGAGATGGGAAACTTAAGTGACTTCTTGTTGGGATTATAGGGTATTTAGGGAGGATGTCAATGAGGTTGAGGTTAGCTAAAGTTAATGGATATAAATTGTGCTTATAGTGGCAATTTGCAGGAAATAACATTCGATATAAAATACAAACAATAGTAATGAATCATGCTGTATTTCTATTACGTAATCTCTTTAAAGAGTGGTAATTTCTTGAAATGAATTAACAGTTCAGTCCCATCTCCTCTGAGAGTGCATCTTCGTTATTCAGCAGATCTTAGCATGGACAAGAAGCAACTTGTGACAACAACAAGTGTAAAATTATTTCTATGTGAGAGTTAAAACGAATATGATTATTGACCACCTTCTAAATGAGTAGCTGAGTTTATTATGAATGCGAAGCAAGCAAACCTATCCAAGTTATTGATTCTTAAAAGAATTAACCCAAAATAATCGTCTTACCTCTCTTAATAAACTAAAGATCATAGATATGCTCAAACTCTTGACTCTATTGAGATCTGATAAGATCTTTTTGCTTCTAATTGCGGTGGTTGATCATGCTTCCTAATTAAATGAATTTGGCCGACTTCAAATAAATCATAGTATTTCTAAAGAGACTCTTTGATTTCATGAAGCTTTGGAGCTGAATAATTATGGGAGAGACGAAATCTAATTCAAAAATTTCTCCGAATAAAATCCAGAATCAAATAATTCTCAGAACTTCTAAGCTTTAAATTCGGTCTGAACCCCACTCTCCAAGCTAAAAGTCTGATTAAATCTATTCCCTGAATCTTGATCTTCACTCAACTAAATTTGTGAGGAACAGGGTTTAGTTTTAGTGGACTTCTTCACCAAAACAGTTTTCTAGAACCTTCTTTCCCATAAGCCAGTAATTCATATTTCATTTTATTCCAGATTTTGGAAAAAGTATGAAGCTCTAGTTTACTTGACTCTACAACTAATATCTAACTTAAAATCTGGGAAAAGAGCGAGTCTCAAGGCTCCAGACAACCGTATTTAGGGATATGGGAAGGTCTTCCTTCATACAACTTTAGGTAAAAAGTACGAATTATTAGACCTTAGGACTTGCTAGTAGAGTTACAACTGTACCTTCCCATAAGTCTAAAATGAACTCAATAACTTAGTATTATTAAGCATGACAGATCAGGTCAGGTACCCACTTTTGGAGAGAAGTCAAAATATTATTAAAATTTCTTCAAAATAGGCATTAGTATGAATTTAAGTCATAAGATCTGGGACCTATAAGAGCTGTGAATGCGTGCCAAACTATAAAATAAATGTTTACTAATGACTTCTTGGGCTTATATGATAATTTTGTCAACTTTTTGAGATTAAAACAACAATTTTCATAAAGAAGTAATTTTACGATAGACTTAATGCTGCCTTCAGATCTGCCTTTTCGGTTATTTAAGCTCCTTCTTAATGACTAATAGCAAGAAAATGAGCCTATTTCCAGCTTTTTATAGACAGACTAAGTCAAATCGTGCAGGATTAAGTCTCAAGGGTATAGAGGAATCATGAAAAGGGTCTATGAACTCTAATACTATTGAGAACTTTGTGACTTTAAGCTATATTATGACTTCAAATTTTAAACACTATCCCAGCTGATTCTAAGTCTACAGTGAGCCAGAGCCTCCAGTCATCCTAAGAAGTGGCTATTAACTTTAAATTTGAAGTATTTTTGATGGGTTGCAGAAATTAACCCTCATTCTATATACTTTGGTTATCAAGAAGAGAGCAGGCTTGATTTCTTTCCATCCCATCAAGAGGGAGCTCAAACTAAGGAGGAAAAGACTAATGGCCAGATAGCATCTTGGCAACAACAAATCATCATGCAGTAACATGTATCTTTAAATTTCTCTGCCCTAAACCAGCTTATCTGCTGTATTATTAATCTAAATTTGCTCTATCTAGAAATATGACCGAACTTCTTGATGAAACAGGCCAAGATTTCTATTTTTACTTCAGAAATTTTCTTGTATCACCTATAACACTTGGCAGGCTTCCTTCTTAGCTATGAATAATAGAAGAGTGGTTTCCTTTGGAAAATAATTCTCAAACTGCACTTTATCAAGTCGAGCTGTCAGTCCCAGCAAGAGTAGGGTGATTAAAAACTGCACTTATGGGAAGCCAGACTATAAATATTAACCAGACAGGTGATTCGTACTAACGCTACCTAATTTCTGGAGTAAATCAGAATTATTTAACATAGTTTGGCATCTTTTTAGGGTCGATGATTCCTAAAAATCCATATCTATTGAAGTTTCATCTAATTTTTCATACAAATAAGTTAACGAGAAGTAGCTTATGATGCGAATATGAAAGTTTAGAATATGATACAGTCCAGCTGTCCCAGACTCTAATACTGCTTTCTATGAAGCCAGGGGTCTTTTACCCTCAATTACTTAATCTTCAGCCGAAGAAATAATGAATTATTGCTATAAACATTTGGATGACCGAGATTTGAAAATTTATCAGCTTCAAGAAAAAGTCGGTTTATTTCGAAAAAGTGGCTGGACCATTTCTAATCTATTTGAAGAACTTGCCAAACCAAGTATATATGCTTCTAAAAGTATCTGGCAGCGCCAGTCTCTCAGTTCAACTAGTTTTGAGACTAAACAGAGCGTGATATCGTTAGCCTAGCACTTTGTAGTGACCTCGGTGAGGACTACAAACTTTAGTTTTTTAAACATCGTATAGAGAGTATGATTCATTTTGCGATTCTTTAGTCACTAAGTCAATAACTTACCTCTGGTGCATGCATTAAATCAAGACTGGAAGATGGTCGGCAATGAACTTTTGCTAGAAATCTGATTTAATTTCTGAACTAATAGTACTAATTTGGAATATCTTTGATTCTCAAGACCAATATTATTACTTCCCTGCCGATCATATTGAGGGATACATAACATGAGAGATCATCTGTATCCTTTTCAATGGATCATTGAGAGACTATCTCCTTCATTACGGCTAACTCCTAACAATACTCAAAACCTTAAAAGAAGACAGAGCGAGAGCCAGATGGCTCTAACAGGTGCTATTTTATCTAAAGTCCTTTTAGCATGTTCAAGAGTAATAGGTGATAGGTATCTCCAAAAAAATGGATTGATGCTTGTGTTTCTTTACTCTGTCGCAGTGTGATTATTGATAATTAGCCTATTTCTAAGGAATCAACATTTTATTGTATTTTCTAAATCGATGAATACCAATACTCTCTTTGTGTAGCATTCAAATCATATAAATCATGCGCGGTGGGCTTGCCTCCCGCTGCTTAAATTCTATAATAATTCTTAATGAAATCTACCTCTAACGATATCTCTCAGATTCCAAGGGCAGCTCTGAGAGGAGTAGAAACAGAAATTCATATCTAAAATCCCAAATTATTTGACAAAATTTGAAGAATATTAACTTTATTATCTAAAATTATTATGCTCATTTGGCCTGGCCCCTTCTTGCTCTCCCCTTTTCTTTGCTGCCAATTCTTTCTTATGGAAGGTTTTGCAGTGAGTCTATGAAACAGTTCAGAAAAGCTAGTCATGGATATAATGCCCCTTACGTTTGCATGAGGCGAAGCGAGATATGAGTAAGGCTGAGAACTTATTTTAAAAGAAATTACAGTATCTTTCTTCTAATTTATTTCATTTGGAAACCCTCGCAAATTTATTAAAAAGTGTTTTACTCATGAAGTTTCATAAAACTTGGGAAAATGAATGGAGGTCTACCTTCTGAAATAAACGAAAGAAGCATTCCTGCTAGGAGTTATCAGCTAGGACATCCTCTGAATCATTCATAATTCTTTGATAATATAAGGGATATCTGGGAAAGCAAGGAAAAAGTAGCCAATTTTTAGGTTATGAAAAACTTTTCTGGATTTTAATAATTTTTCCAAGTTTATGCAAACCATTTTAAGATTTCACGAGAGAGTTCAGCAAAAATTGGAGCTCTTTGTATGACGATTTAGCGACCTGATATAATATTCAGAATTGAGAAAATGGGTAAAAGGAAGCCGAGCTGTTGGCCTAGGGCCATTATCTAGCAACTTTAACAAAGAGTGTTATGTCCTAAAAGGCGAATAATACTGGGATTCTGAGATGATAATTCATTTTATTTCATTTCTCCATTCGTAGTAAGCTGCAAGAGTTTGAAAATCGTATTAATTCATTTATAGCAAAGGCAAATAATCATAACAGCTATTTCTCTTACCATCAAGTTATATTTTTCAGTGAAGCCTCCTCCGCAGAACTCGCACTTATATTTTCTCCTAGCTTCAACATGTGGAGTAAGATGGAGTTTAGCGTGTTTTCTCATATTACCCTTCTGCGTAAACTTTTTCTTGCAATATGGGCATTCATAGGGCTTCACTCCCTTATGCATCCTTGCATGATCCAGCATATTCCAAGTAGTCTCCATCTCTTTGTTGCAGTTTTTGTAAGTGCACTTGAAGACGGTGTACTTGTGACCAGTCATCGGGTTCTCCTTCTCGACTGGCTCCCAGTCATAGTCCTTCAGCATGGTCAAGTTAATTTCTGACTTTGAAAGCTGCTTATCTTTGGACCTCTGAGCAGTTGGAGAGTTCTTCTTGTCGATCGGCTTCTCTGGATGAGACTATAGCCACGTATAAGTTTTGAAGATTTTCCCACAAATTCTGAAATCTAAACTTACGGTACAGAAGCAGTATGTCATCTTGAAACTGCTTATGTAATCTTGGGCACTTGGATATGTATCAACTGGGTGGAACTGAATAATCTCGCTAGGAGGGAATCCTGAGAACCCGCACTCTTCTGCATAATAAACAGGGATCTATACATAAGTTAACCTCTCATTCCTATGGGCAGAGCATTACTTGGGATAGACCAGTTTTGGGTGACAATAATCAAACTAAATTCTTTCAAAATTCAGAAGGCAGGTTTATATTTGAGCTTGTCTAAACTGGTTTTTATAAACTAAAAACTTTGTTATAAGATATGCTAGCTTTTAAGTTGCCACACAAAGTTTTTTCTGAAATATTTTCGGTGCTTCTAACAGAAACGCAATAAAATTTGGCAAGATTTCTACTGGAGATCATGCTCACTTATAGAGCCCCTCGAAGAAATATAAGGCTGGGGTTATTTGAAAGTTATTCAGAATCATAAAATTTTAGAGCAATTTTAAAGATGTCTGATTTGCTTACAAAACCTAAAAATTTCTAAACTCGCTTTAGTAGGTTTATTACATAAATTTGGAATTCATTCACTTTGAGAAAATTAAAATCTGCAAATTTTGAGAAAAGAACGACAAATTATCACAAAAGAGAAGGCTCTCTTGTCAAACTCTACAGTTTTTGCCGTAGAACGGAGGAGACTTCTTCTCCCGTGACTATAGATCATTATGGTAATTTCCCGATCATTCTTTACTTTAAAAGAAGGACTGCCCAAATTATGAACAAATCCTCATCAGAGAGGATTCGAAACAAGGAAGCTTGAAAGCTAGCTTACGTTCGTTGTTCACCCAAATTCCTGCTCTGTTTGCTGATAAGCATCAGCAATGAAAGGGAGAGGCGGAGGCATAACTTGTGGTGTGTAGTCATAAACTTTCTCCACTACTGCAGGATAGGCAATACATTCTGGACTAGTTACCGTTTTGTTCCTTTTAATGATCATTATATCAAATCTTAATAAATTATTATCAAATTTAGAAATATTTCAGCCCTTTTAGCCTTATGAGGGGTTTTGGGGTTTTGGGGTTTTGGGGTTTTGGGG